CCTTCCCGTGGGCATCGAGGTGCCACACGCCCTGGCTTTCGAGAAGACGGGAGTACAGCAATGTGCGAACCAACAATGTCCCTTCTCTTTAGGTAATGTTTCCCCTTCATATGCATGGGTTTTTGCTGGGTGCTCTGGATTCCTCCCGCATGTATAAACACATATATAGAGGACTGCAGATCTTGGGTAATTGTTGGCACCGGCTCACTGCCTGGTTGCCGTTCCTTGGTGGTTATGAGATGGAAATTACTACGACGACGCTATATTAATTAAACAATATTTTATGAACAAGTCTACCCATTTCATTACATGAAACACAGACTCTAGGTAAGGCAAAGAGAACATGGAATGCACAAATAGCTGTTTCATATTGCTAGTGCACTTTTCGAGTGCACATAAGAGGAGACCGTCAACGAAGATTAGAGTATTGGGAAAAGGCTGCGCTGTTGCTCTGTTGTGGCACCGTTGGCAAGTATTTATCACATCATCCAGCAGAAAGCTTGACTTGCGTCCAGGATATGGAAATTAACTTAACCCTTTCACAGGTTAGCAACTCATGATTTGCAGGCTTTGGTTTGGTTAGTACAGTCGAAAGATACTAACAACATTATAAATGCATAGTATTAAAATAAATATGGTTAATCAATGCATTAATTTATATTTACTGGACCTACAACAGCCCATCGTTAACAGGGGAATGGATGGTAAGCGAACACATTGGACTCTATGGTGGCCCGTCGTTAAGCGATTAGTCGTTAACAGGGGTGGTCGTTAAGAGGGGTTCTACTGTGTTTGTTGCATTTTACTTTTAGATTTTCAGAGAACAAATTCAACCTATCCAATTTTGCGAATTAAAGTATAGTCTCCTTAGGCAACAGGCAGCCATACTCACATTACCAGCAACCAAAAGTGTAATCTTGTAATCCACTTAAAGCTCAGTTGTATTCTATAATAAATTGATAAGTGATTACTGTCAATGATTGTATATATGAATGCTATTTCCCACTGTTTCAGTAACATTGAGCATTCTGTGACCCAAACTGAATCCTCTCTTCACAAGAGTTTTGTTAAGGAATAGGGATGGTTTCTTTGGCAGTTGCTTTCACTTGCTACTGCAGTTTCAAGTACATCAATCAATGTTGAATTTTTATTTTATTTTGCTATTACATTCAACTTATCAATGAGCCAGTTTCATATAGAATGGGTTGTAAAAAATGTTGCAAAGGTCTCAAAGTATTATATTGTTTTAAAAAATGTAATCAACACCACTCTGTGAGTCTCTTGTCTGAACATTCCTCCAGAGTCAAGTCTGTCTTCTGTGAATCTATTTGTCGAATCACCCAATCTGAGGCTTGCCTGTCTTGTTATCCAATGGTTTCCAGATATAGCATTTAAACGTATACACATTTCAGGTGGTTAATACATAACTTGTGAAGTTATAGCAGGTTAGAAGTTTAACGTTAAGCATATACAAGGCAAGAGTTCCATAGATTCAGAGTGGAATGAACAGAGCGAATGAAACATATGCCGAGTGTTTGAGCCTGCATTAGGAGCCAGGCAAATGGGTCGGATGTTGAAGTGGAGGTTGTTGAAATGGCTTTTGTGCACAAATATGTAAAAAGCAACTAAACCTTTGTGCATATGCTCTAACCATCATCACATCCTGAAAAGTGCATTATTGCTGTCAGCCATATTTGCCCACATTTATTTTGGTGGTGACAAGAAAAGGGACCTCATTCCAGTTATGCAGGGAATGCTAATGGTAATTGCATATCCACAAAGGAAGTGTTCTTTTCACACATGTTGGCGTGTTGTTTGAATGTACCTGTTCAACCTCCTTTCCAAAAATAAGTCAGATCCATACATTAAAAAGTTAGATGGCGACAAGCTTGTTATCAATCAGAGCTACAGCCCAATTTCCGACAGCCTAAAATCGGTTCTAGCTAAATGGTTGAATTTCGCAGTCACCCTTAAACACATCCCAGTTGATGATATCATTGCCCAGGTCGACGTAGCCCTTCAGGGTTTGGGACACGTTCCTGCAGACGTGGCAAGATCAGAAATCGTTGCAATCCTAAAAAACGCTAAGATACCTACTAGCAACATCAGCAAGGATGAGCGCCTTGAGCTTTCGCAACTAAAAAAGAGAGATGACATAGTCATCGTCTCAGCCGACAAGGGCAATGCCACTGTCATCATGGACAAAACCACATACAAACACAAAATTCAGGACCTACTTAATGATGGCAGCTATACCAATATCAAGAGAGATCCTACCAACCGCCTGGTTACGAAAACCAACATCACTGATTCGACATCTTTGATCGAACCAACCAAGCGGCTTTCCTTAAAACCCTCTGCTGCTAGACCACCCTGATTTTATGGCTTACCAAAAATCCATTAAGAAGGTACACCACTCCATTATATCGTTTCCACCATTAGCTCGCCCACCTATAAACTGGCCCGATTTCTGTCTGAGACCTTGCAACCATTCACTGGTAAGACCACCTCAGCTGTACTTAACTCAGCTCACTTGATATTTTTCAATTAGGGACATCTCACTATCTCCAGGTGATTTGCTCGTTAGTTTCGATGTATCTTTGTTTACCAAAGTTAATGTGCCTGACACCATTGCAATCATTGAAGATTTGGTCCAACAAGGAATGAATGCTGATGTACCGGCCCTGGTTAGACACTGCCTCACCAACACTTACTTCACCTGGAATGGAACATTCTACAAACAAGTTGAAGGTACCCCAATGGGTTCTCCCCCTTATCTGCAGTTGTAGCCAATGTTTTCATGAAGAAATTTGAGACAGATGCCACCCAGGCATCCACCCTACATCCTTCCTTGTGGAAGAGATGCGTAGATGATACGTTCGTCATCTGGCCACATGGTCTACGAGCTCTGGATCATTTCTTCAACCACATCAATTCCATACACCCAGCCATCGAATTCACCATGGAGGTGGAAAAGGAATGGCAAGTTACAATTCTTAGATGTTTTAATCGAAAAGAGACCTGATGGCTCAATGGGACACTGTCTCCAGGAAAGCCGCCCATACGGATGCCTACCTAAAACTTGACTTCCACCACCATCCATCCCAGAAGAATTCCCTCATCAAAACTCTATACCATAGAGCTCGTTGCATTTCCGACCATCACCACCTAGCCAGTGAGCTGGAGCACGTACACCAAGCCCTGAAGAAGAATGGATATTCAGACTACACAATCCGTAAAGCTATCACCCCAACCGTTGGGAAAGAACCATCTGAGAACGATTCAACACAGTACATACAATTCGTGATTTTATCCCATCTGTGATCCCTGACGTGCAATACCCCAGTGTCTACAAACTCTGCTGTGTCTGGGGCAGCAGTTACATTGGGTAAACTCAACGACATGTCTCGGACCGGGTTCGTGAACATAAGGCAGATCTGAAATACGGTAGGATCAATACCTCAGCCATGGCTGATCATTATTTTAACGCAGTGGGCACACACGAAATTTATTTTGCCAAGACGACGATACTCTGCAAACCCACTGGCTATCAGCCAACATTCGTTCATGAAGCCATCCAGATATATAAACACAGACACAATTTCAACTGAGAAGATGGGTACAAACTGAGCAATCATTGGAAGGACTTTATTAACCAGCTTAGGTCATAACTATGTGAGCAGTTATTTTCGACTCTCTGAGTCACATTCACTAACACAGCCACCGTTAGCTGTGTTAGGAAATGGCGGCTTGCCATCCTTTTCCACCTCCATGTGGCGATGGCTCTTTCCGAGCTCTCTCCGAGCTTACATTTATAAGCAAATTTCTTACATTGACATGCTAATCTCTCACAATACAATGGCCACCCCCACAGCTTCGTTTGTCAAGATTTACCCGATCTTACATTTACATTCAAATTTCATCTTGAGTCCTGCCCACTGACCCTTGGGCTACACCCATCTCAAATCTTTATAACTCCCAGCCTCAGCAGCTCTCCCACTATATTTTTCACCTGATGAGGATTGCTTGTGTTGCGATCGAAACGTCGTGATAATTTTTATTATTTTTATATTCACGTGGCTTTACCGAAAGACCCAAAGAACACGTATATACAGGGTGTTTCAAAAGGATGGACCCAATTTCAAAGCAGTATATTTCACGATGGCAACATGTTACAATTGCACAAAAAGTTACAAACGGTTCAATGAGTTATCAAGTTTTACTAACCATTTTATAAATGCTCTGTGCCCTCCACTTGTTGTACGGACAACATCGAGATGATAGTTGAATTCGTTCCAAACGCCTCTCTTCTCACGTTTTCCTCTGAGGTGCGTGGTCGTCCTGTGCTCTTCCCCTTACATAAACAGCCTGTTTCCTCAAATTGTCGGGACCAACGACAAATGCTCTTTGACATTGGCGGATCAATGATATTATTATTTTTCTATCTACGTGGCTTTACCGAAAGACCCAAAGAATATGAATTCCTGCAATCACGAAAGCTTACAGTCAAGATTTAAAGGCAGTTCATAACAATAATTGGTAGAATTACAACATTATTATTGATTTATCTCCTCACAATTTGTATATTTTTCTTTAAAAAATAGCCGAAGCCCTGTTTTTCACCATCGCATGAATTGGCTCTCAGATATGGAGCTATTGATATGAGTTTTTATTTTGCCGATTTAATTTAAAACATTATTTGTTTTTCCTTCCATGATTATCAATCGTGCATAACCCAGCTTCACAATTAGCCTTGGAAGGGTTAAGCGAGTTTTTGTTGGTGGGCAGCTCGCGGGCCCGCTTTCTGGTCGGGCATCTGCCGTGCCTCGCTGATGATGGTGGCGGTAGCGCCGGGGGTGGGCGTTGCTTTTGCATACATTAAACACGTCTAAAAGAGTGGTTAATTTAATTCGCCGTGATTTGCATGCTTGCGCGGCCATGCTGACCCTTGAGACAGAGCCGGGAGACGTGCGCTGCCGCTCGCAGCAGCAGCGGCGTCTGCAGCCAAGGCGCGCGGTGCTACGCCGTGGCTCTGTTGTGTGCTCTCTCACTTTCGACTTGCTTGCGGGCTAAAATATTTCTCACCGCTGCGTCCCTTCCCCAGTCCCTTTGGACATGGAAGCAGGTTAGCAGAGAATTTAGGTTTTTAAAATGAGTCTTTCTTTTCCTTTTCTCCTTGTTAAAATGAACTTGTTTTTGTTGAGGTTCCTGAGGTATGAAGTCGGTTTCATTTGAGATCTCATGGGAATGTTGTCATTTTGCAGAAAACGGCATGGCTGGAAGAGAAGGCATGAGTGAGAATGGGCAGGATGATCCTTCAGGTGAGTCGATTGTGTGATCATTCACACGGTTTGTCTTTTTTCATTGATTATTTTATTCCACTCATTACTGATTTGCGATCTCATCCTGATCACATTACAGAAATGTTGTGGGACCTCCAATGTCTTCTGCACCTTGTTGGCTTACAAAAAGTAAATGTGAAGCAAGCTTAAAAGGTGTTTTTTCCAAAATAAACAATAAAAATTGCATTGTAAATAACACCATTTAAATGTCTCACTCAATGACAATCTGCATGCTCTAGTGTCGGCAAAAGTTGATCTTTTTTACAATAAAATTGGCACGTTGGCCTTTGCTAGAGTGTGCATTGGCAAAGTGCACCCTGGTGCCACCATGGATTGTATTCGTATAAAGCTTTGTAGACAGTTTGCTTTCGAAGCAAAACACATGAGTGGGAGTGCCACGAGCACACAAGTGCTTGGCAGGCCTGTATGTACCAGTTCCTGAAGCCATGGATTCAATGGAACCACGCCGATGCAAAGGCATTATCGATTCTGTCCACACACCACATGCATTATACTCAGAACAGCATTAATCGCGCATTGTGTGGTGTATTGTTGGATGGTAAGAAAGTATTTTGAAAGTGTTGAATGCAAATCAATGAGTGCATTGGTGTCGAGTTTTCATGTCAATATCGTCTAGAGGTGGACGTTAATGGGGAAATTGAGTGACTTCTCTCAAATGTGTGGATTATTTTTTTACTGAGCATTGTGCAATCCTTAATTTAATTTATTTTCCGTCTCATTCTTGTTCAAAGTGGTGAATTTGTGGCTCTTGGGTGTCTTTGGGGTTACATCAATGCCCCTGCGAACATGTACAGGTTAACATGCCACCCCATGGCGCTGTAAAAAAAGAAAGAGGTGGCTGGTTGACTCAGAGGTGAGAGCACCAAGTTGCCACCACTGAAATTCTGGGTTCGAATCGGTGGCCGTCTTTGATTCTGGGTCCTCAACTATAGATTGCTGATGGTCTCAGGCCGGTCATTAATGACTCCACAGAAACATTTTCATGTTAAATAAACTCCAGCTCTACCGAGCGATCCGGATGGATACCTCGCCTCATGACACGATGCTTTTAGCATAGTTGGGATGCCGTTGGGGAAAAATAGCCAAAATATGTCAAACGTAATAATACATGCATTGATTTGAAGCTTTCGTGACTGCAGGAATCCATCATACAAGGGGTCTTGTGGTTGTCCCACCTGATGACGATTGCTTGTGTTGCGATCGAAACGTCGTGATCTATTATTTTTCTACCTACGTGACTTTACCAAAAGAACCAAAGAGAATACATGCATTCATAAATCTTTAATTTCTCCAGGAAATTTAAATAAAATAACTATTTGTTTAGCTTATTGTCTAACCACTGACAATCTCTCAACATATCTAAATTGTCTTAGATCTTGATGTGAGAGCACTTGATTCGTAGTGCTTTATGTCGACTTGCACAGACTTAACATCCATGCTTGACCGCCAATGTAGACCAAGAAAAACTGTTGACAATAAAGGTCAGCCACAGTTTCACAAGTGTCAACTTTCATGTGTTGGTGCACAATTTAAAACCCTTTCTACATGAATCTTTCTGTCCTGGCTGGTTAATCACCTGGACTGTGTTTAAAATGCTAGAGGATTACAGAATGTGCCGGCTGCCAACATTGATGAAGAACACATGGTTTTGGATAAAAATATGTTCATGATATGCCCCATTTAATTAATAGCAGGGTTTTTGGAGTACTGTACAACTCCTATTTTGTGCAATAATGTGTTGTGTGAATGTTGATGCCTTCTAAGTAAAAATAGGTTAAACAAGGTCCAGATTACATGCAATACATTTTTGTCACGTGAAAATGCAGTTTTTTTCAATGCACGGGTTTTGTGGCATTAGACACTTGCAAAAGTGGTGGGCTTAACAAGTTCTGCTATGGCCAGCATTCCATATTTTCATTTCCTAATTTTAGTCCCTCTTGACTGTAAAAGTACAAATCTGCACGTTGTTCAGGGAAGTTGAATTGTTGATTTTCATACATCATACAAGGGGTCTTGCATAAAATATGGGAATCGACCATTGTGTCTTATGGCAATGTGTGCTATGGAAGTGTGGGTCATACTACATCCTTGAGAATCCTTTGCCGAGTCGGCATGCATAGCTGCAGCAGGTGGATTAGGTTCTAGATTTTAAGTTTTCGTGACTGCAAGGATCCATACTTTTTGTTTTTTTCGGTAAAGTCACGTAAGTAAAAAATAAAAGAGAAAAATCAAGTAAATCACGACGTTTCGGGCGCAACACAAGCACCTCCCAGCCCACACCCCGCCCCCACACTTACCATGCCCCCCCCCTCCCTCCAGGCCCCGCGACTATATAATCCCTAGTCACAGCCATCTCTGAGACACACTTAAGCGTTTGTGCTTTCGCTACGTTGTCCCCACCTGAAGAAGGACGCTTGTGTTGTGCCCGAAACGTCGTGATTTTATTAATTTGTTTTCTTTTATTTTTTACCTACGTGACTTTACCGACAAAACCAAAGAGTGTGGATTAAGTTGGCTGAGTTTTTCCTGCCTCACCACAGCCTTCATTCCCATTCTAAAATATATGACTATAGGCTCCACGGATCCAATCCACAGTGCTAGCTAGATCTCAAGAAGGGAATAATAATGTAATATACATGTTCATTGATACCGGGACACACCCCTGGAGCCAGGCCTCGGGGTGGTGTTCGCCGGCAAGCGCCTGGTGGCCTGGTGACCCACGTAACCTGGTCGGGCCCAGCCCGAAAATGGCTACGTGGCGCCGTTGTGTGAGCCCACCATGCGCAGACGAAGGGCGGGTGCGATGCCAGTATGGCAGGGAGAGGGATGGTCTCACACTGACTGGACCTGAAGAAGCCAGAGCTGGTGAAGGAGGTGGAAAGGTACCAACTAGATATAGTCGGTCTCGTCTCCACACACAGCATTGGCACTGAAATCAAACTTCTCGATCGGGGGTGGTCTCTCTTCTATTCCCTATTCCGGAGTAACCCATGGTGAGTAGCCCTGGGGCGGGTGTGGGGATGTCACAAGCCCCCAGCTGGGTGCTGTTCAGTGGAAGTTTGTCCCAGTGGATGAGAGGGTCGCCTCAATGAGACTTCAGGTCGCGGAATGGAAAACTCTGACTGTTGCCTGTGCTTATGCGCCAAACAGCAGTTCAGAGTATTTGGCCTTCTTGGAGACGGTGGGTGCAGTGCTCGGTAGAGTGCCGCCTACTCACGTGGGAAACGATGGAGTTACCTGGAGAGGCGTGATTGGGAGGATCTGAACCCGAATGGTGAGATGTTATTGGAATTCTGCGCTAGTCACAGAATGTCAAGAACTAACACCATGTTTGAACGCAAGGATGCTCATAAGTGTACATGGTAGCCAGAGCACCTTGAGCTGAAGGTCAATGATTCCCATTTTAGTTGTATCATCGGACCTAAGGCCATATGTTCTGGACACTCGGGTGAAGAGAGGGGCAGAGCTGTCAACAGATCACCACCTGCAGCTGCAGCAGTCGTAGAAGCAAAAGCCTTGGCGTGGGAGCAGTTTGGAGAGGCCATGGAGAGGGACTACCGGGCAGCCTCAAAGATGTTCTGGCAAACCATCCGACGCCTTAGGAGAGGTCGATGGGACATGGCCCAGGCTGTTTTCATTAATGGTGGCGTAACATTGACCTCGACTAAAAGGTATAGTCTAAGGAGCTCTTCAACCCGGTAGACATGCCCTCCGCTCAGGAGGCAGCCCTGGAAACAGCTGGGGGGGGGGGTTTGATCCATCACGACTGCCGAAGCTGCTGTGGCGATTGAGGGCCTTCGTAGCGGCAAAGCTGCTGGAGTGGACGAGATTCGCCTAGAGTTGAATGCGCTGAATAGTGTAGGAGTGTCGTGGTTTAAACGCCTCTTCAATGTTGCATGGAAGGTGGGTACAGTACCTCGGGATTGGCAAACTGAGGTCGTTATTACCATTTTTTAAATGGGGGACCAGACGGTGTGCTCCAACTACATAGGAATCGCACTCCTCAGCGTCCCAGGTAAAGCCTATGCCAGACTGCTGGAGAGAAGGCCCTGCCCGGTGGTAGAGCCTCAGATTCAGGAGGAAAATGTGGATTCGGTCATGGTCGTGGAACAATGAACCACATCAAGTTTTAAATGCTGTGATTTTCACTCACCCACCCGTGCTGCTTTCGTTTACTAATTCAAGCTCATTGACATGCTCATTTATCCAGCCCCCACCCGTCCCTGCACACTACAAACCCTTTCCCCTCTCCCCCCTCGTGAACTCCTGCAGCCACGACTCTACAAACCCCCCCTTCCCCCCCCTCCCATGCCTATATAAAGCCACAACAGCAGATCATTCTTTCTCACCTGATGATGGATGCTTGTGTTGCGACCGAAACGTTTTTTTTATCTACGTGACTTTACCGAAAGAACCAGAGAGTATAAATAAAAGTCGTTCACTGTGGGTGTTGAACTTGGCCAAGGGTGTGTCTTGTCTCCACTCCTGTTTGTGATTTTCATGGACGGGATATCAAGGCGCAGCTGAGGTATGGAGAGTATCCAGTACGGGGGCATGGAGGTGACGTCGCTGCTTTTGCAGATGACGTTGTCCTCTTTGCCTTATCAGTTTGTGATCTCCAGCATACACTTGAACGGTATGATGCCAAGTGTGAAGCGGCTGGGATGAAGATCAGCACCTCCAAATCCGAAGTCATGGTTTACTCCTGGGAGATGGTGGATTTTTCTCTCCAGGTGAGGGGGGAGCAGTTGCTCTTTGTGGAGGAGTTTAAGTACCTCGGTCTCTTTTGCGAGTGATGGTAAGAGGTAGCTCGGGATCGGTGCGGTGTCCGCAGTGTTGTGGGCACTGGGCCATTTCGTGGTAGTGAAGCGGGAGCTGAGTTCTTGAACAAAGCTCTCAGTTTACAGGTCGATCTACGTTCCCACCCTCACCTATGGTTATAAGTTTTGGGTAATGAC